TAGTTTCTTGGGATTTCTATTATGATGAGACATGCAAGCATACAGCAATAAATAGAGAAAATTATCATTGCTCTGCAGAAAATTAAAACAGAGTAAACTCATATGAATGACTGGGTTGTGGCCGGGCACAGTGGCTCACTCCTGTAATCCCAGCACTTTGGGAGGCCGAAGCAGGCAGATCACAAAGTAAAGAGTTCGAGACCAGCCTGGCCAATATGGTGAAACCACATCTCCACTAAAAATATAAAAATTAGCCTGGTGTGGTGGCACACGCCTGTAGTCCCAGCTACTCAGGAGGCTGAGACAGAAGAATCGCTTGAACCCGTGAGGTGGGATTGCAGTGAGCTGAGATCATGCCATTGCACTCCAGCCTGGGCGACAAAGTGAGACTTCATCTTAAAAAAAAAAAAAAAAAGACTGGATTGTCACTTTAAACAGCGGAATACAGAATGTAAGAGCAGGAAACCTGGATTTAAAGTATCTGGGTTTGATTTTTGGCTTTACCACCTATTTGCAGTGCAGCCATTAGCAAATTACCCACCCGATCTTTACCTCAGTGTCCATGTCTATAAAGTGGAAATAATGAGAATACCTACTTCACAAACTTGTTGTGAAGATTAAGAAAATATATGTAAAGCACTTAGAACAGTGCCAAGACATAGAGAGTTACCAAAATAAATGTTACCTGCTGTTTTAGAACAGAATGACCACAGGTAGCATTTAAGGTGATTCTTGGCCTCAGAGCACGGATGTAGTAATTGTCATCTTCTTGCACATAACTAGTTGAATCCCAGAGATGAAACGCTCGTATTCTTTGGTTTATATTTTTAAAACAACAAATCTTTTCAATAATGGAATTGTGAATATAAATTATACTAATGTCTTGTGTTTACATACTAACTTTAAATAAAAATTGCCATTTGAAACAAGATTGTAAAACAATAAAACTGAGACCAAAAAAAAAAAATTCCCTCCTCTGCTGCTTCAGCTACTTCTCCCTAGACTTCTTGTAATTTCACTTCCTCTTCTATCCCCTTCAGAAAACTCCAGACTATCCCCAACTCTGGACTTCAGGTTCAGAGAGCTTTAGTCACTGATAGCTCTGGTGTTTTGAAACCTCCAGGGGCTCTGCAAATAAGCTGTGCTTCAGGAGTTTCTCTCTGTGTTTAAAACATGTCTGTTTAGTGGTTGTTTCCATTATGAGAAATCTGGGAGAGTTTCTTTGTCCCTTCAAACATCAAGCCTCTAACATCTTACATCAGCATCTTAGTTAATGCCCTAATTTATGACCACATTTTGGGTGGCCTGATAAGAATGGAGCCAAAAAAAAAAAAAAAAAGTCCTTACTTAGGACGTTGTCCTGTGGGCCCTGGTAACACTACTTCTTTCTATGACTAGCCCCAGTTAGGGCCTCCTTGAATGTTCTTACTGGAGTATTCTTCCTCCTGCCCTTCTAAAGAACCATCAAGACAGATCCTTGTAGGCCTGCCTTGTTCTTTGGTGGAGGCCAGCTGTTAGTGCCTAAATGAAAATGAAATTAGTCTTCTGCCACTTTTGTAGAGAACAATTCTGATGGCAACTTTAAAATCAACTTTTTCTGGATTTAAATTGAGCTATTTTATACTTCTGAGCCTTTTAAATATAACTGGAAAATAAACAAGATAACATTTTTTAAACAGAAAAGTTTCCCCTTAAAAGGTAGATTCCATGTCAGGGTTGATATCCTTTTCCTTTTATTTAATGAAGTCCTTCATTGACTCTTTCCCCATCTTGAGGCATTTTTCCAACCATCTGCATATTCCCCAGAAGATTTCTAGTCTTATTAAAGTAACTTCATCCAATATCTGTAATAGTTTAATATTTAATGAGCACCTGCTGCATGCAAAGTATAGCACTGAGAGCTACTAAGGATCCAACAAAACGTAAACCTCACAAAATAGGCTCAGAACTTTTCATTTGCCCAGATTTTATTCATACTAAAATTGCATTTTCCCAAATTTTATTCACATTAATAAATATGACATCCTATGTTTCTTGCGCCTTTGTGAATCTAATTTAATGACTTTCAGTGAAATCGCATTGTAGTGGTAAGTTAATAATGACCACATATTTTATACAGGAAAGAATGGGAAATAATATATGAAAAACATTATAGAGTGCCAAGGTGGTATAAGATAAATTAAGACTATTTGAGCTGTTTAAATAAAACTAAATATATTTTGCTATATACACGTAGATATATACGTTCCTCTCTGCCCTCAAGGAAGCTTCTGTAGCCTCGTTATAGAGATAGGACAGGAGCACAACTAACTGATGAAAGGCAGTAAGGGAAACACCTGATTTATGTGAGTCTAGTACATATAAATCACACTCCCAACGGAGCAGCTGCGCAAGCTTACGTTCCTTCCCACTTTGGACCCTTTAGGGTGTTATTGCTATTGTGTCACATGAAGACCAGATCATATGCAAATAGCAATAATCTTTGCTTTCTCTGCACCTTTTACTAATTCCTTGTGTTTTCCCAAACAGTGAGAGTAAGAGCAGAAGAAACTATATATTTTATGTTAATACGTTGAAGTCTTAAGATAATAATACACATTTCTGATTGAGTGCCAATACATGAGAACAGCAGTGATCCTTTACTTCTACTCTCCAGTCAGTGATCATACCAAACTGCTCCTTCCGTGACTGATAAACACTGTCATGTTTTCCCTGCCTGGAAATCGGACTCATGATAGTCATTGCTGATAGAATGGTCACTGCTGAAGCACCCTTTAGCCTGTCTTATCCCTCAATTAAACTGTATGATTTTTGGCAAATAAACATGTGTTTTCTGCCATATGGTTTTTCTTTCAGCCTCTTCTCCATTTCCCCGTTAATATTGGAGTCATTGAAAAATTATTTGTATTAATTCCACTAGAATTCTCTTTTCCTTTTTCATTGTGACCTTGAGGTCTTGTACATAGTTTATTGCTGATACACACTTGGCTCTTAGTGTGAGCCATCTAATTCCCTCTCTTTGTCTCTGTTGCATATTTCCCCTCTTTGATTAAGTTCCACAGTAGGGCCCCTTTTTGTCCACACTTAGCAGTTGCCCTTCTCTCTTTCTCCTCCCTACACATGCATACACACCACATCTCCCCATTCTCCAATCTCTCGTTTACTTTGTCACCCAGTATCTTGCTATAAAACAAATTTGACTGTGTTAAAAACTCTTTTTTAAAATTTCTAAACCAGTAAGACAAAATCCAAACAGCCTATCCTTCATAAACCTTTTCTCATCATCTGGCCTCATATACCTCCTACCATCTCATCTCTCTCTTGTCTTAATCTACCCACAATATACCCTGTTCTCTTGTGTTCATCACCACTCCGTAGAACTCCCTGAGGCTGCCCCGCCCCCTCTTTTTGTTTTCATCTTAGCCATGCTCCAACTCCAATGTCCCATCTCCAATGAAGTCTCTCCTGACTTGCCCAGAATCCCCTGCTCTTTCCTCCCTGCTCCCTTCTTCCACAGCTGCTATTGTGTATTATAACCATCTGGTTCTACACCTGCCCCATAGGCCAGACTATGAATTACTTAACAGTAAGGCCATGTCTTGTTCATTTGTTGTTTCCTGAGTACCCATCACAGTTTCTGGTACTAAAAATCTTTACTATATGCATAAGTAAATGTCAGAGAAATATGTAAAGGATTTTAGAAAGATTTCTATTTTAAAATTCTTGAAAAGCAAAGCTCCATTTATCCAGAAAAATCATTTATATTGACCTGTTGATGTACCCGTAATACTGGAGAAAATGAACATTTATATTTTTCTTATGGTTCACAGTGATCATCGTAAGAGTAATGGTCAGTTTCACACAGAGCATTACTAAAATGAACACCCACTTAAAACAGATATATGAGTTTTAGTGGGAGAACTCATGAAGAGAAAGATTTTATATATGCTTTTTCTAGAAAGTTAGGGATCCAGTTTATTTGAAGACCTCAGTATGTGGTGGTTTTAATTTTTTTATGCATCCCTAGAAAGACTACAGATTTAAGTTTCAGGTGTCGTGTCATCAATGTTGATCATATTACACAAATAAATGTGTAGCCTCACAACCCTATCTTGATATTTGAAAAAAGATGATCAAGATGGTACACATAAGAACTACAGTTTGTTTTAATTTTCTCACAATTACTTTTTAAAAAACAGCAACAAAAACTTTTAGGGTATTAAAATCAGTTCATTTCTATATCAGATTTATTCTAAAGTAACATAAACCTCAAATTAGACACTGTACGTCACACACAAGTTCGCCTTGAATCCAGTTGTTTATGTTACACTTACATACAAGTAACACAAGTTGTCTTTGCATCCAATTTATTGAGGACCTGTCATTTCTATGGCATGCATTAAATATTTAAAACTGATTATCGTATTGAGTATCATCTCTTTTATTGTGTTCAGTGATTGATATAAAAATAACTTACTTTATCAAGTCAAAAAAACTATGAATCTCTTTATAAAAAAATCACATATTGTAATTGTCAGTATAGATTAAAAAGAAAAGTAGAAAATATGTGATCTGTTACAAATACTGGCAATTATTTCTAATTTGGATAGTTCATTAATTTTCAGACAAAGATTTTACACAACATAGACTTGTTTATATAGCCTTACATATTTGTTTTCTAATGCTATTATGAACTGTTGTTAATTTGAATACTCATTTCTCTTCATTAATTTATGGGAGGATAAAATTGAAAATGGGTAACATTTTAAAATATCATCTATCATAAACATAAATTTTCAAGTGAATTGTTCACAAGAAATGCTTTATCTTCTCAGCTCTTTAAATAAAATTAAATGAATAGAATAGAATAAATTCATAAAATATTGGTTTTAAGAAATTATTTTATTCCATTTATAGTTAATAAGTTATAAGTTAATAGTTTTTACTCAACTTTTTTATAAAGTGGTTTGTTGAATATGCTTCATTTTTATTCCTGATAGGAACTAATTCCAGAGTTCTACTACCTACCAGAGATGTTTGTCAACAGTAATGGATATAATCTTGGAGTCAGAGAAGATGAAGTAGTGGTAAATGATGTAGATCTTCCCCCTTGGGCAAAAAAACCTGAAGACTTTGTGCGGATCAACAGGATGGTAAGAGAGATTTTGCTTTTGCTTGAGCAGTCGTCAGTAAGCTAACATATTCCGTAGTTTTGTTTTGTCCTGTTCTTTACTGTAATATTACCAGTTGCCACTTAACATCTATAAATACAAGGTTAAAATTTTAAGTGAAAAGGAGAACATTTTACTGTTGTCTTGACAGCATTCCTTATTGTAGAGTGGATTTTCCTTTCATGAGGGCTAATAAAGCAATGGTAATTCAGTTATGTTTGCTCCCTTAGGAGAAGGCAATCAGATGAGCATCTGTTGACTAATATAATGTATTCTAAAGTGCTTAAAATAAATGCCTATTTCTTAGTTTTGTCTACTGACTAAATCTGAACACTTTTTTACTTATAAAAACACTCAAAACAGAAAAAATTTATTTAGAACATATTTATATGTGGGATGTTTATATTGTGAAACTTACCTTAGGGTATAAAAATTCTGAAATGGAAAACATCTTTTTTTGTTTTGTTTTGGAGACAGTGTTTCACCCTGTTGCCAAGACTGGAGTGAAGTGGTGCAATTTCATAGCTCACTAAAGCCTCAAACTCCTGGGCTCAAGCAGTCCTCCCACCTCAGCCTCTTGAGTAGCTGGGGTTATAGGCAAATGCCACCACGCCAAGTTAATTTAAAAAAAAAAAAAAAATTTTTTGTAAGATGGGATCTCACTAATCTTGAACTCCAGGGATCAAGAAATCATCCTACCTGGGCCTCCCAAAAGAAAACATCATTATTTTAAGCTATATTGCAGATATCTGAGTGTCCAAATGAGAAATGTATAAATAGAATGTTCACATATGGGAATTTGATGGGTTTTAGTATATTTTACACATATTTAAGGAGATTTTAATCCCAACATGGTTATAGTACATGACAATAAACCACTTTACAGAACAGCCTCTCAGGTGTACTATTGAATTACATCAATAAAACCAATGACGCCAAATATATTTTTAACCCTGTTTCATTCACTCCCAAGTTTTTCCAACTGTCTGATAAATATATTTTATTTTGTTTTTACAGCTTATTTATTTGAATCAAAATTCAAATAAGGTCCACACATTGTGAGGGAATTCACATATTCCTTAATCCTCTTTTTTTAAATAGCTTAATTGAAATATAATTCATATCCTATGCAAATCATTCATCATTTAAAGTGAAAAAAATAATCATGTATATTAGTACATTCACAAAGTTGTGCAATCATCACTACAATCAATTTAAGAGTATTTTTATCACCTCATAGAGAATCCCATACCTTTGAACATCTTCCCCGATTTTTCCTGATTTCCCCATTCCCCCCAGCTAGCCCAAGGCAAACATAAATCTACTTTATATCTCCGTAGGTTTGCCTATTCTAGATATTTCATATAAACAGAATCATAAAATTCGGGGTTCTCCTCCCCCATCTCGTTTTTTTGTCACTTTTCTTTTGGACTTTACTGTCAGTCACACATTTTCTTGTATTTTAGAGCCATATTTTCTGTCTCTAAGAAATATTTTACTTTTAATGTACTTTATTTTAGAAAGTTGCTGATGTAATATACCTACGCTTAAAAGCGTCATCTAGATAATCTGCAATCTGGTCTCCCCACTTCTTTATTTTTTTTTTAAGAAAATTTCATGTTTTGCATAAGTCTTACTGCCAATCTCTTTCTCTTCTCAATCTGTTAAATTGGCACTTTCAGATATATGCAGTTATTTCATACTGTTCCCTTGAACAATAGCTTATTTCTTCAATTTATATTTTTAACGTGAATGACTTATATTTTACTAATATATACTTCTGAAAATTTCTGTTTCTTTTTATAATTGGTATTTCATCACCACATTATTCTTACATACTTGAATGTTATCTATAAATATCAATGTCAGGATACCAGCTCTCCATATGCAACCCTACAAGCTCACTGTATATCAGTATCTCTCAGGCACATCATTCCACTGTAGCTCCAGAGCTCAGAACCCTGCCTGGCACATACTAGTTGTTCAGTAAATATTTCTGAGTAAATGAATGAATTAATGAATTATAGAGGTGCAATAATCTCATTGCTGTTAGCATATAGTCTATTAAGTACAAACTAGTCAAACTGAATGAATCCTTCACTCAGGCAAGCAAAGTGGCCAATAGTTGTTGGAGCAATGCTTTTGTTTATCATGCTATTGAACAGAATTCTCATATGGGTGCTGATAATAAGTGCCTCTTACCTGTCAGGCATTAAGCAAGGCACTTGATTTTTTTTTTTTTTTTTTTTTTTTTGAGACAGAGTCTTGCTCTGTTGCCCAGGCTGGAGTGCAGTGGCACGATCTTGGCTTACTGCAAGCTCCACCTCCCGGGTTCAAGTCGTTCTCCTGCCTCAGCCTCGAGTAGCTGGGACTACAGGCACCTGCCACCACGCCCACCAAATTTCTTTTTTGTTGTTGTTTTTTTTTTTTTTTGTATTTTTGGTAGAGACAGGGTTTCACGTTGTTAGCCAGGAAGGTCTCAATCTCCTGACCTCGTGATCCGCCCGCCTCGGCCTCCCAAAGTGCTGGGATTACAGATGTGAGCCACCATGCCTGGCTGGCACTTGAGTTATTTTAACTTTTATTTTACAGATAAGAAATATGAAGGCCAGACATGTTTCATAATTTATCCATGGCAGAACCCAGATTCAAGTACAGGAAAGTTTTAACTCTCAAGCCATACTCTTTCCAATATGCCAGCTACGTCTGATATTATCTCTTCTTTGTGAAATTCTTTGAGATTATTGGATCTCTACTTTTAGGTTAATAATTGTCAGTCGAGAACTTATTCATTTCCTTTAACATTATGAACATGGTTAATGCAGATCATTCACAGATAAAAGATTGCAAGTATACCAAGCTTAAATATGCATTAAAGAAAAATAGAGTAGTTATCTTTATTATCCACTGGACCTTTCACATTTATTAATTTGCTAATGTTTACTGATAATGTACCAGGAAATGTATATGACATTTTTTAGACCTCTAAACATGCAGTGATGCAGACTGGATGAGCAGGAGGCCACTGTTGTTTCCCAGTCCCAGGACTAGGCCACATTTCCTGCTAGGAGAGTACTGTTTTAAGTGGTGCCCATTCCACTCAGTGTAAAGATAACTTTAGGAAAGGGATTTGCCTTCTTAATAAAAGACTAAAAGCTTGAGAAGAAAGTTTTAGGATGTGGGAAGATTTACTATGATACAGGGAAAGGACATATGTTTTTAAAAATTGGGGAAATGGGATCTCATGTATACGATCTAAACCATCTCGTCTTAAGTTTCTAGTAGAGGCCTAAATTAACGAAATTGTGTTGCGAAAAGCGTAGGGCATTTGGCATTAGCGTTTTTGAAAGCAGTTATCTAAGATCAGTTTCTCATTATAGTTATTTAAGCAGAGACTTTTTCGTATTGAAAAGAAGCCATTAGAGAGATAGCTCGTTAGAGAGATAGTGTGAATGTCACCTTTCAGTTTTTGCAACAACTCCTTTATCTTGCATTACCAATAGCAAATTTCAGTGAGAACAAGCCTAACTAAGTATTTTAACTAGTACTCAATTATAATACATGTAAATACTTCTCCAAATAGAGAAAGCCTGGGCAGAATGCTGTTTTGAAATAGGCACACAGCTAGTCAGTGGTCTTGGTGAGAAGCTGCCTGCTCTGTAAATGAGCCGAAGTCATAACAAAGAGAGGTGGAAGTAAAGGTCCTCAGTGATATCTCTTCTTAGGAGTAGGTCTGCACTGATGCTTCCAAATGCAGACGTAGGAAACAGTGGACTAAGTGATTGGTCAAATGCCTCCAGATTCGTCCGCTGAAAAATAATTTGTTCGCTATAGAAATTGGTCTCCACAGTTTTTCCTCCTTTTATTGTCCTCTCTGCTCATAGCTCATGCTGTCTTCTTAGCTGTTCTGCTGTGTTCCTTGCTTTACCTGATTAATAGACATGGCAAAACGGGCTTTAAAGATAAATTGGTGAAACCTTGTCCCTACAAAAAAATACAAAAATTAGCCAAGTGTGGTGGCACGGTGTCTGTGATTCCAGCTACTCAGGAGGCTGAGGTGGGAGGATCGTTTGAGCCTAGGAGGTCAAAGCTGCAATGAGCCAAGATCACGCCACTGCATTCCAGCCAAGATTGCGCCACTGCACTCCACCAGAGCAATACCCTCTCTCAAAAAAATAAAATAAAGATAAATTGGCACTCAACAAATGGTGCTGGAAAAATTGGTGCTAGAAGAGTTGGATATCTATATCCAAAAAAAGGAAGGGGAGGGTTTCAGTCCTTACATCGCACCATATAAAAAAATTAACTCAAAATAGATCATGGACCGAAGTTTGAAACCTAAAACTATAAAACATCTAAAAGAAACATATAGGAGGAAATCTTTGTGACCTTATGTTAGCAAAGATGTTTTACATATGACAACAAAAGCACAACCCATAAAAGAAAACACTGATACGCTGGACTTTATTAAAACTTAGCTTCTTTGATCACTGCTGTAAGAAAATTAAAAGAGCACTCAAAAATAAATAAAAAATTAAGAGAATTAATTTTTTAAAGGAGGGGCAAAAGAATCTTCAGCAAAGAAGATATATTGATGGCAAATAAATACATGAAAAGATGCCTCATATCAAAAATTAATCCACAAATTAAAATTAATCAAATTGAAACCACAGTAAGCTACCATTACACATTAGAATGACTTTAAAAATTAAAAGGGGAGGATAGCAGCTACATACGGAATGGTGAGGCATTTGAGAAATCTAAAAGGGGAGAAAAAAAGCCTGTCCTGGAACCGGCCCTCCCTCCACTACCAAGCCGCCTCCGTCTCTAGAGGGATTAGGAGGAGTCTGAGTGGCCAACCTCATGACGGCCTGGAGATCAATGTGATTCACATATCCTGCTGGTAGAAAAGTTTGGTAGTTTCTTATAAACACACACCAACCATATAATCCAGCAACCCTACTCCTTGGTTTTAGCCCCCC